TAACACTAAAAAAATAATTATATGCTTATAATTCATAAGAAGATTTTCATTTCAAAAAATTTAATCTCATCTAAATTTGCAGTTAGTTAGACTTGCTATAGATGGTAATCTTTCTTTGAAATCTTGTTTTTGTTGATAGATTGTGTTTAATAGTTGTTATTCTCAACATTTCATGACATTCTCAACATTTTAAAAGCTGTTATCGACATTTCAACTTAGTTTATCTTCACATTTGATACTTCATTTGTTTAGAAGGAAATTTCATTCTGAAAATGAGAATTCTCTACATTTTATAATATTTTGATATTTTAAGTGTATTTCTCAACATTTCATAAATGTTTTCTTTATTGATTTATAGGGAGGAATTATCATTTAATGCATGATTGACATGATACTTTTTAAAATAAGTAGTATAGATTATGTGCCAAGTTATTATTGGTCAATACAATTTTTAATTATATAAATAATTTTGTCTTTATTGTGGAATTTTAAATTGTTAATGGGCATTTTGATTATATTCTATTAAAATAGACATTGAAAAAATTTTGGACATTTTTGCAAATAACTATGTAAAAGTGGACTTTGCAGATCTATGTGATTGATGTCTCTCAGCTGAAGGCTGTTAAAATTCCAATTGAAAAAGCAACTTTCAAGGTCTCGTTGCTTCGGTGGTGTTGGGTCGCGGTCTCAAAATGGAAGTTTTTCTAAGATCAAGTCCTAACTACGAGAAGGGGAGGGCATCTAAGACCGAACCGTCTAACCTATCTAGATCAAACGAAGAACATTTCCCACCAAAAGATCAGTGAGTAATCGACTAGGGAGGATGACAATGAATTATCGTTCCAGGTCTAGTGGTCGTTCCTCGCCCTCAATCACAAACTAAAGTTCAATAACCCTATTTGAAACTGAATTAAAGTTCTCTGAGTCAATCGAGATAAATTAAAATTTAATGATCTAATTAAAATCTTTCCGAAAGTTCAGTGACTATAGTTGAAACATACCCCAATAATTAGACACGTTTTAATGGTACATATATTTTCGCATCGAATAAAAATTTAATCTTTGTGGGAAAAAGCCAAATGTATGGGCCAATTGGCCCCCTATGATAGATGGAAGGATAGAATCACAGGGGGCCAACTGGCCTCGAGATCGCCTCTTGTGAAGAATAATGCTATTTAAACAGACTCTGCAAACAGGGACAAAGATAAGTCTTGCGTTGGCAGCATCTATGTAGTTAATTTTTCTCAAACTGTCCATGATGTTGCGCCACGTGTCCTCATGTTTTTAATCTTTGTCATTGAGCTCGTTTGTATAGAATGATTCCCTTGTGAATTACATGGGACCGCACGACCATGTACACCAAGCAAAATCCATCTTTGGGTTGGTCCACAAGTTTACTTTTCCCAATGTTTTTTTCCTCAAGTTGGACCACGATGTATTTATGCTCGTCCTTATTTTATGTGGCATGCGCACACGTTCTCAATTCAATTATTTACAGGGCCACCATTTTTCTTTTGAAGTTTCCAATATCTAGTTTAGGACAGAAGGTTGGATTGATAAATTTTGTTTTCACTTACTAATGAATCTATTCGTTGTTAAACGTATTCATCAATCCATTTTAATAATTTTTTTGACAAGTGACTGATATCGCTTCTTGAATGACATGTAATATTGGTTGATAAGAGTCATTATGCCTCCAAAGAACATGTATGCTCTATTTTTTGTGCCCATTCATTGGTCGAAAGACTATTTTGGCCTTCAAATAAGAAGCCGTGGAAAAAATTGGAGAAAGAGGGTGTAAATGGTAGGTTAAGTAAGATACTGGCGAGAGTAGAAATAAGTTAAGGGCAGAAATGATATCTGAGGGCTAATTCAACATATGATTTTTGGATTACAATTCTTTGATCAAATTTTCAATTTCATAGTATTTGATTTTAACCGGAACCAAACGGGGATTTGTCCAAGTTACGATCATAAAAGTCACTAACGATAATCAATCGCGCTATTTGTACAACTTTCTTTACAATTTTGTTTACAACTTCACATTTGGTATCATAGCCATCCATTTTTTTTAAATCAATAGTACGAATCTTGACAACTCACTAATTGTACAACTAGGTTAATTCAACGATAGTTGACGGTCAATGGCTTCTTTGAAGGATTAATATTGAGAAGGGCGTTGTTATAGAAAAAACATGTTACCATTTGATACTCATTTTGACGAATTTTTTTTTTTTTTTTTGCCCATCTCATTTTCTTACAATAGGGGCCCCAGCACATAATAAAACAAGTCAAAAATTTTGTAAGGTTGGATATAAAGGGTGTGTTTGAATCAAATTATTTTGAAAAAAATGTATTTTGAAATAGTAAATTGATGGAGAATATGTAGTCGAAAAAGAAGAAAAAATTATTGATGTGATGAAAAATATTATTTTATTGAAAAATGTATGATTGAAAATGAGTAGAAGAATGAGAATGGAAATTTTAGAGGCTGTTCTCTTTGTGTTTGAGTTTTGTGTTTTGAATTCATTTTGTGTTTTGAGTGTCAATTTTGAGATTTTTGAAAATGCGTTCTTTTTACCATTTTAAAAAATTGTTTTCAAAAATTAGGAAATGGAAACGTGTTCTCTTCCCACTTCCCTTCCTCAGCCTCTCTCTTTCTCTTTCTCATGCCTCTTCCTTCTCCTCTTCCCCCTCCTCATCTCTCTCGCTCTCTTCTTCTGCTTCCCCTCTTTCTCCACTAATGGTTGTTGGTTTGAGTGTTGTGGTTGGATGAGGTGGTTGGGTCGTGAAGCTGTGGTTGTGGTAGTTGGGTCGCTACTTTTGGCTGGGGCAGTGGGGCTAATGGTAAATCGATTTTGGCCATGGTTAGGTCGCGATTCTGGTGGCGATTTTGAGGTGGTTAGGTCGCCATTTTTGCTGGGTAGTGGTGGTCTTTCTGGTGGCGAAT